GGCAGGTACAGCAGGGTCTGCCTGGCTTCCCCCTGTCCTACCCACCGCCTCCCTCACTGCTTGCTGGACAAGCAGGGATCCCGCCCCCTGCTCCCTCCCTCCTATCTCCCACAGCACTAGCCCCATGGATCCTAGACATGTAGTATGCTAGCTAATGCTGATAGGTGTGTGTGTGTGAGTGTCTCCAATTCCACTGAGACAGGGAGACAGAACAGTGACCTTTTAGGGCTTTTGGACCTAATCCCTGGTAAACTGTTTAAGAAGAGCTTGAACTAAAGGAGAGAGGCTATTGTTTTGCTGATGAGGTGATAAACACTGCTATCAGCCCCCTGCTGGCTTGCTCACCTGTCAGTTTGCTGCAGAGATTATAAAGAAGCAGTGAGGGGAAGACTGAAAAGCTCCATATCATCAACAGATGCATGCACTGCAGACCCCTACTTGTCTCAGAGTGCTAGCAGGGGGCTGGCAACACTCTCACCCTTGAGCAGCAAGCAGGGAAAAGCCTGGGATGGTTCAGGCAGGCCTCCCTAATCAGAGGTCCTCATGGGGCCTGGCCATGTCCCCCTCAGCTCAGCTCCCTGCAGAAGGGAAGGGAGGGCTGCTCTAGAGCTCCCCAGCTTCTAGCCTGCACCACTACAGGCACGTGCCTGAATTTCCTCAGGCCAGAGAGAATGTCTGTCCCATTACAAACCAGTTCAGCCTAACCAGGTTAGACTAACCTGCAAAGATTGAATCAACTCAGGCTCAGGCTTTTTTAATGTCTGTCTCTAGCCTAAATGGCTCACCCAAAGCCACAAAGTGAATCAGGGGTAGAACCAGGAATAGAACCCAGGAGTCCTGACTACCAGGCAGGAGGCTTCAAGTACTAGACACTATTTCTATTATATATAGCACCCAATCTTATCAAAACATCTGTGTTTGGGCAGCATCAGTACTGTCAGCACAGCTCCAAGAATAGTGTCTGTTGATTATTTACTGCTGCAGAACCAGCAGGGGAACACAACACATTGCATTTTTGTCAGGGATACTAAACCTGAGGCTACTCTTTTTATTTACTCTATGATGGAGTGGAAAGTTGTTAGGCTTTTTAAAATCCAACAATCAGATATTTAGAATCCAGTGAACATTTCCCATGAAACGAGAACAAACTTTCCGATAGGAGAATAAAAATCTGTCAGCTTCTCTTTAACATAATGACAGTCAGGCCGAGAAAAATTTCCTCTTTACAAATAGATATTCAAAGTCCCTTCTGCACTCCTGCATTTTGGGGAAGATGGTGTTGAAATTATAAATAAAGGCAAGAGGCAGAGACAACCTGGGGGTTGTGGGGCCCGGGGCAAATCAGCCTATGTGGGGCCCTGCCCCCAAACACAAGGAAGCTGGCAGCAGATTCAGTGGCAGGGGGGAGGGAGCAAGTGCCCAGAGGTGCTGGATTCAGTGGCGGAGTGGTAGAGGTGCCGAGTGGCTGGATGTGAATCCTGTGGCAGCGCAGAGTCACTGTGGCCGCTCTGCCCGGCTCTGCGGGACCCCC